TAGACATTTCACACACTCACAAGAAGAGTATTTCTACAGTTTAAAGCACGATTTCCTCGCCCAATAACAGGAGGATATACACTCCGAGGAGTGAACCACTTTTGTCTTGGATTATGTTTGGGACTAAATTATATTTACTGGTTGGTCGGTAAGCTGTTGTGGCGGTCATGTTCTGATAACCTTCCCGTGGTTAACAGTGCTCACGCCCAGCACCACACTAAAAACCCAGTCATTTATGGTGTCTGAGACACGCTCGAAGCCAGGCTTGTGCTCCACTCGGGCGACACGCCCACAGCGGCAACATAAATCACTGCACGATTGTGGCATATAAAGGATCCTGTGCAACAACCCGTTCTCGCAAATTTAATAAGTCAATATTGACTTATTAAATATGTGCATAGGTGACATACTTAACATAATAGATACCCTTAAAAAGATTCATAGAAAACACCGACCTTACCTAACCTTGTTAGTATCTTAAGATAAGCATCTTATAGCTTCGTAATTACAATTATTACCTAACCTATAATAGGTATAGGTTAAGTAATAATTGTAATTACGAAGCAATAAGATGCTTATCTTAAGATACTAACAAGGTTAGGTAAGGTCGGTGTTTTCTATGAATCTTTTTAAGGGTATCTATTATGTTTAGTATATCACCTATGCACGTAGTTAATAAGTCAATATTGACTTTACGAATTTGCGAGAACGGGTTGCCAGCAACAGAGGTTTACGTTTTTGACTTACAATCGGGCATCCCACATTCAATCCCCAGGCAGGACAAAAAAAGGGTTGAACACATTTCCTTCTGATGCTTCTGTTCACTTATCAGTAAATAGTTACCCTTCTCCTGCCACCATCAGACCACACCCCCCTCCTGCCATCATCAGACCACCCCCTCCTCCTGCCACCATCAGACCACCCACCCTCCTCCTGCTCCATCAGACCACCCCATTACCCACCTCAGTACTTTGGCTAAAATGAAAACATGATAAGAAACATGAGCGAAAAAATATTGTAATATTGAACAGCTATTAGCTTTAAAGGTGCAGTGACCTACGGGCTGGTACTTGACCCTGCAGACTCAGCTGGAGTATATTTAGGTGAATATGCCAGCCCGTCCTCGTAAACACTGGCCAGTCGGGAAAATTGGGGGAAAATGTTTGAGGATGGGCTGGTCCATGGACACGGCGCGCGTCTGCGGTGACCCAGGACGCTGGTTCGAGTCCCCCGTCCTGTTCCGAAGACTTCATCATAGATATAGTATATGACGTTATTGTGATTTTCTTGTGAATTGGTCAGTGCAGCCTTCTAGATGTAAGTACTTATAATATCGATGTGGTCGAAAGTACAAATATGTCATGATGGACCAACAGAAAGTAGATTTTTTTTAGTATTGAATGTGGACGAACCGGAAAAGTGTTCATATTTAAGTTGCTAATAAAACCAAATTTAATCAAACCATCCTAGGCCTAATACACGCTATCTGAGGCCTAGTATAGTATGTTATACTAGGCCTAGGAATATTTAAGTTTGGTTTTAGCTATATTTTCTCTAGACTATAAAAAAGTACAAGTGGCTTACGGAGGCTCCATTACTATTTATTGGTACAATCGACCAAATAATTACAAAACATACTATCAAAACAGAAGGGTGGGTTGGTATTGGCCAATCTCTTGTTGATCCAGCCGACCCTCTGTTTATATTCACCAGCCCGTCCTGAGGCCAGGCTCATTAATGCAGCGGCCGGCGCCCGAGACGCATCCTTCAATATTATCATACTGTGAATTAAAAATAGGTTTGTTCTCGTATGTAAGTTACCAGTATTGTTATTCATTAAAGTTCTGTGCATAGTCAGACGTAAGTTAGGTTTGGTCATTAGGTTCTGTTGGTGTTTATTTGTATTTGACGTACGTGTGTAAAGCACTTACAGCAACCCGTCCTCAGACCTAATCCATTCCATCCAGCGGTCGACCCTAAAGACCCATTCATCAATTTGATCATGCTGTTCATTCAAAACAAATTTTCTCAAATATAAATTGGAATTATATATATTAGCATATTGTGCATATTTAGGCATTGGTTAGGTGTTTAGGTTCTGTTGGCGATTATTTGAATTTGTAGTACGTGGGTGAAGCATTTATCTGTACATAGTACTATGTACCTTGAACATAGTACATTTCAACCCGTCCTCGACTCGAGTCCATTACGTCCAGTGGTCGACCACACAGACGCATTCATAAATTTTAACATGCTGTTCATTCAAAACGGGAATTTTCTCAAATATAAATTAATATTATAATATATTGTGCATATATAGGCATAGGTTAGGTGTTTAGGTTCTGTTGGCGATTATTTATATTTATAGTACGTGGGTGAAGCATTTACAGCGTTGTGGTTCGAACAAAATTCGTCAGTGAAGCACTTGTTCCGGAAGTGTTCGAATGTCAACAGTTGTGAGTCGTGTGTAAACCGCTTTTCATTCATAAACAAGAGGTTTGGCGGGTACATGGAATCGGTTTTTGATCTTTGTTTGGAGGACGGGCTGCATAAACACGTCTTGACACGACACGTGTGTACTGTGTTAATGCTTGGGAACACCGGGCAACGTGACGAGATTTGGACCATAAGGTACTGTTGTCAGGCATTTCTCTTCGACTGTACATATTGATTGATTCAACGTTTGGTCTACTTTGGGTCACAGGGAAGTTGATAGATTTTTTTTCGTTTTACGGTTAGATCTTCGGGAAGGAAAACAGCGTCCAAGGTCTGCTTGACCCAGAGGTCAACCAGACGCCGGGCAGGTCTTGGTCGGCTCTAGTGGGCCCTCAGGTCGTGGTGGGCATGTGGATTTTGCTCGCCGGAGGTCACTGGAATACGTTGTGTTTTTTGTCTACCTTGTATAGTAGTGTACCGGAGACAGGCGATGTGTACCCACAAGCCTTGGTGGCCTTCCCCACACGGACGTGCCGGGGCACATCCACCACTGTTGCATTCATGGCCTCTACAGGTGCAGTAAGTCACCATCTCTTCCTTGGATAACCTTTCTTTAGCCTCGCAATTCATAAACCACTGAATATATAATGCTAATTTATATTTGAAGAAAATTTGCCTGTTATTAAACCATGTAAAATATATATCCAGCCAGTTTCCAGCTGTGTAAATAAAAAACCGACCCATTAACACCGGTAATATAGTATTTCTGCCCTACCCTCTGTGTTGAAAATGCCAATTACAATATACATGTACAAGGAAAAGTGTCAAAAATATTAATACATACACAGAATAACATAAAATAGAAATATAATAGTAAATCGTGATGTATAATAAGTAAAGGATAACAATTCTTGTTGTAAACCTATACTTACCTTTGGAGAGAATAATTACCATTTTATATTGCTTTTGTGTAATGTATACACCCCACAGCCCCGACAGGTAATGGGGATTTCTAAGTTAATTACAACCGAAGTCGTCGCTGGCCAGGGTTGTTGTCCCAGGCACAGCGTAGCACTCGTGTTAATGATCCTGGTTGGAACAACCTTTTGTTGAGAGGTGTGGCGGTGCGTGTTTGTAATTCATTTTTGTTTGGTGTGGTGGGTGATTAATTTTGTTTGTTTTGGGGATGAGGTGGGTTGAGGTTGGGAGTGTGAAGGTGGACGATAGGAATTCGCTGTCGTTATGATAGAGCTTGGGAAGGGGGGGGGGAGCGAATTACTATTAGTGCTACATGATGGCTAAGGAATGTCTTCTTGTGGGATTTGCTAGGGGGGATGCTTTAAATATATGTTGCAGTAAACATACCGGAATACGTGGCGTTGAATGTGGCAGCGTACATACATGGTGCATGTCTGCTGGTGGCGTTATATACATGTCTCTCTGCTTCTCTCCTCACTCTGAGGTACTCTTTTCTGGCTATCTGGTATCTCTCCCTGCTCTCTGGTGTTCTGTTATTCCTGTAGTTTCTCCATGTTCTTGTACTCAATTGCTTCGCTACCTTAGTCCTGATTGAGCCATGGATTCTTCTGTTGCTTTTCATTTTTCTCCTTTTGGACCGGGATAAACCTGTCTGCAGCTTCCTGTCACTTCTGGGTGACATAGTCCATCATATCATGTACAGTCTTTTCTCTGATTTATGCTTCCCACGGTATTCCCAATAGGAAGTTTCTCATCTCGTCATTTTTCCTCTTCGGTAATTTAGTCTTTTTCCTTTCCAATCCCATCCTTAGATAGGTTATCCCTACCTTCACCAGGTATTCAAATGTCAATACACTGTGGTCACTCATTCCTATGGGGGGGGGGGGACTTCAAATTTGACTTCCCTTATTTTTTACTCATTCAAGGTGAATGTCAGGTCGAGTCTAGCTGGTTTGTCATTGTCTCTCATTCTTGTGGGTCCCTTGATATGTTGGCTCAGAAAGTTCCTTGTTGAGCTTCCTTGTTTAGCTCTCCATGTATCTTCACCTCCATGTGGGCCCCCATTCTCCCAGTCTCTTTTTCCATGGTTGAAATCGCCCATGAGTAAAAGTCTGGATACATTCCTTCAGGCCACTGAAGCTGCTTTCTCTTATATTATTATTAGTTATGTTATCTAATAATTAGTCTATTTCAAAGGTTTACAACCCTGTATTTGTCACCATTTAAACGGTATCTCTTAATATTTCCTTGGTACTGAAGCCTTTCTAACTTGTACTGGCTTTGAAATTTGAATTTGTTCTCCGCCCTAGTTTAGTATCGTCGGCAATTCTGCTAATGTTGCAACAGAGGTCCTAGGATAGGGCCTTGAGGCACTCCACTTAAGTAGTTTCCCACTATGACTCTACGCTGTTTTCTTTGAAATAATCATACCATAAATAAAATTTCAGTTTAACCGCAATAAAATGCATCTGTACCTTTATAATATTTTTGTGGGTCACAGCATCAAAGACTTTGCTAAAGTCAAGACATGTGTAATGTCGCCATAGTATTTCCCACTCACCAGTCTCTCCCTTCTTTTGCCACAGCGTGTCGCTGCCGTGCTCGGGTCGGGTCAACGCGGAGGTGGTGGTGAACCTCCACCTCAACATCACCACCCTCAACCGTGACCGCAACCACACCAACATCACCATTAAGAGGAAGAAGATCTGCCTCAAAGGTATGTTATGCCTTTGGCTTGGAAGTACCCTATTCTGGGTTAAAGTCGCACTCAAGAGCCATGGGATGCCCTTGGTTCAAAGGCAAGTTGTTCCATGGTCGTATTTCTGACTTAACAGGTAGCTCTGGCTTACATGATCCTCTGGCTTACATGATCCTCTGGCTCACAGGATCCTCTGGTTCACAGGATCCTCTCTTACAGGATCATCTGCCTTACAGGATCCTCTAGCTTACACGATCCTGTGGCTTACAGGATCCTCTGGCTCACAGGAACCTGTCAACAGTCAAGTTTTACAAAAGTAAGGGATCACAAGGTCTCAAGGTCTTTTAACATTTCAAATTTACAATATTCTACATTCGTAAATGTAGAAGGATTATCTAAAATCAAAGTTTTGAACTCTAAATTATTTCAAAGTGACATTATTTATATATTTTTAAATTCTTGCGATTTTTAACGAACGTTAGTTACAGTTGGAAATATTCGTGACAAAATAAAATATTTAAGAACAATATACTCTAGAACTGCCCCCCACCCAAAAAAAAATACTGATTTTTTGTCATGCTGTCGATTGACATGATGCTTTAAATATCGCTTATTAACGAGTTAGCACTAATATACCCCTAAATGTAGAGTTTTTCCCGCCCAAGGGACTACTCCATTGTTTTTTAGGTGTCGAGCTCATTCCTCTAGCAGGTGCTTTGTTATTACTAGATCTATAGTGCCCGTCTGCCGCTGTCGACGCAACTATAGCCATTCCCCCAAACCAGACATCTCTCTCTCTCTCTCTCTCTCTTTGTCTCTCTCTCAGAAGAGTTCGCTCCGAGGAACGAGTCGATCTACCTGCGGCCGGAGTGGATGTCGACGTCGCTGGGGACGCTGTACGTAGCCATGGGCGCCGCCTGCACCTTCACCGTCCTCGTCATCACTGTGGCCTCCGTACTCTACCTCAGAGTCAAGCGCACCAGGAACCAGTGAGTCTTGCGATGCTCTTCCCTGTTTAATGATTGTGGTATTATTCTGGCGGTTGTGGTATTATTCTGGCGGTTGTGGTATTATTCTGGCGGTTGTGGTATTATTCTGGCGGTTGTGGTATTATTCTGGCGGTTGTGGTATTATTCTGGCGGTTGTGGTATGATTCTGGTGGCTGTGGTGTGATTCTGGTGGCTGTGGTGTGATTCTGGTGGCTGTGGTGTGATTCTGGTGGCTGTGGTGTGATTCTGGTGGCTGTGGTGTGATTCTGGTGGCTGTGGTGTGATTCTGGTGGCTGTGGTGTGATTCTGGTGGCTGTGGTGTGATTCTGGTGGCTGTGGTGTGATTCTGGTGGCTGTGGTGTGATTCTGGTGGCTGTGGTGTGATTCTGGTGGCTGTGGTGTGATTCTGGTGGCTGTGGTGTGATTATGGTGGCTGTGGTGTGATTCTGGTCGTTGTGGTGTGATTCTGGTGGCTGTGGTGTGATTCTGGTGGCTGTGGTGTGATTCTGGTGGCTGTGGTGTGATTCTGGTGGCTGTAGTGTGATTCTGGTCGTTGTGGTGTGATTCTGGTCGTTGTGGTGTGATTCTGGTGGCTGTGGTGTGATTCTGGTGGCTGTGGTGTGATTCTGGTGGCTGTGGTGTGACGAGTGCTATGGGTGACGAGTGGTGGTGAAAGGAACATTATGGCTGTGTCTTAGGTGGTGTAATTCAGCGTGATAAATGTATTTAAAACACTTGAGTTCATTTCACCGTCATACAGGATAGATTTTAGGACTAAACATGGCTATAGGTGTGATGCTGTTTATCGAGCTGTCGCATAGACTGAAGATATTATTTTGATAAAGGTTCCTTCCTATATCATATACATGTGTTTGTAAAATAGGTCGTTTATTATAGGCTACAATAAGGCAATTTAAAGAGTTTAAATATTTAATAATAGAGCCTATGAATTCCTGAGTGTAGAAGACGGGACTAGAGTAACATACAAAGTTTGTGCTTTCGTTCCTGCACCGCACCTCGTTATCTCTGGCAGGGCGTCGCTCACCTGCAGGTACTACAGCGGTCCTGGCTATGTCGGCGACACCAGCGCCGCCACCACGGGAGGCAGCGGCCGCGGCGGCACCTCCCTCAGGAGCAACTCCTACGCCACCATCGCCTCCTTCAAGAAGGTTCCCATCCTCACCTACGAGGTAAGACCTGTCTGCCACACTGCTCGCTCTCGCCTCTGTTACTGTAGATCATGGCTCATATGGTTAATCACAAGTTCTCTGCAGCGTGTAGAACTCTACAGTTTTGTTGTGTTAGGATCTGTGATTTACACATTTCTAATTGCGATATAAGACGCAGTTCTAAAACGATCACTGTGTTGGAACAATGCAAGGTGCTACAATCATGTTAAATGTTATATCTATAACTTGTCATTAAAACTTGGTGTGAATATTAGCTGACCTTTGCTCCTAACCTCTAACACGCTCACACACCGACAGAAAAAGAAGAAAGCCAAGGTAATGATCTAGTGTACTCACCACCCTTCCCTATACTACCGCTTCTCTCGTTTTTCTAGTGCACATATGCTATCTTCCTGAAGCATAACTTGTATATCCTCTAGCACCACTGTCACCCACTGTGCTCCCTATACAGGCCCAGCAGTGCTATACTGGTGTAGTAATACTGTAGTAGTCTCTCCTCGCACCTACAGGCCCAGTTACAGTCACCTCTTCCTTCAGCATAGGAACAGGATTACTCAGGTACACAGTCATTCTCTGCAGGAGGATGGGGTTCAGGACGAGGAAAGTTCAGCAGTTTTGTATCTAATTTATGTATCTTGTGTGTGTGTTGAAGCGTTCAACGGGGGATTGTTTGACACTATCTTGTCCCGAGGGTCACTTCCGCCACCTGTATATACCGCGCCAGGCACGGCCCCCCCTTCCTTCCCCACCACGCCAGGCACGCCCCCCCCTCCCCACCACGCCAGGCACGCCTCCCCTCTCACCACGCCAGGCACGCTCCTCCCCACCACGCCAGGTACACCCCCCCCCCCTTCCCCTCCCACCACGCCAGGCACGCCCCCCCCAACCACGCCAGGCACGCCCCCCCCCCAACCACGCCCCCCCCCAACCACGCCAGGCACGCCCCCCCCCACCCAACCACGCCCCCCCCAACCACGCCCCCCCCCCACCATGCCAGGCACGCCCCCCCCCCCTCCCCACCACGCCAGGCACGCCCCCCCCCCCCCTCCCCACCACGCCAGGCAAGGCCTCCCCACCACATTTGTTTTGATTTTTCTATTTGTGTACCATAAATCTCTGATTTAGAACCGGCCGTTTCTCTCTATTCGGGTTGTTTTTGTAAAAGTTTTCATGCAATTTTGTTATATATTGACGGTTAAGAATGTCGGATAGATGCCTATCAGTCCGAGAAATACCAGGGTAGACATTCACCAGGGTAGATGCATACCAGGGTAGATGCATACCAGGGTAGATGCATACAAGGGTAGATGCGTACCAGGGGTAGACACGTACCAGGGTGTACACGTACCATATTAGATGGGCACATTCACCCGTCCGTCGTGAGAAGTTAAACGTGAATTCACCACCCACTGAGCAGGACAAACTCTCCAGAAGTTCGTCTCCACCAGCTCGCACATTTTCCAGATACTTTCCAAGTTGAAGGACAAAAATTATCCAGACATTCGCACTACTACTAAAAAGATTTGCCACTTGGAGTTAGCCAGAACTTAGCCTTGAGTTGTAATGGACAGACATAGACCGACACAGACATAGACCGACACAGACATAGACCGACACAGACATAGACCGACACAGACATAGACCGACACAGACATAGACCGACACAGACATAGACCGACACAGACATAGACCGACACAGACATAGACCGACACAGACATAGACCGACACAGACATAGACCGACACAGACATAGACCGACACAGACATAGACCGACACAGACATAGACCGACACAGACATAGACCGACACAGACATAGACCGACACAGACATAGACCGACACAGACATAGACCGACACAGACATAGACCGACACAGACATAGACCGACACAGACATAGACCGACACAGACATAGACCGACACAGACATAGACCGACACAGACATAGACCGACACAGACATAGACCGACACAGACATAGACCGACACAGACATAGACCGACACAGACATAGACCGACACAGACATAGACCGACACAGACATAGACCGACACAGACATAGACACAGACAGACGGGGTATATAATAATAATAATAATAATAATAGAGAGCCAGCCGTTGAGGGCAGATGAGGGGCTGTTCTTATACTCTTGTCATTTCTGCATGTTTAGCCAGAGTTTTTAAGAATGGTATTCGAGTTAAACATTGCAGTGTAGAGTTCGTTGGGTCATCTGAAAACACCAATTTAAATGTTATTCAAAGAGGTCTCAGGTTGTTAGCTAATCAGAACTGTTTTTGTTATTATTATTCTATTAGTTTATTATCAAGAACGATTAATTAGTTGAGAAATGTGTTTTTCAGAGGATAATAATTAACCAATGTCGTTCATAAGGACGGCAGGCAGCCCGTCCTCATAAACAGAGACCAAATGCTCGTTGGTCCATCCCCAGCAAGCACAGAACGCTTGTGAACGTTTTTAAATGGTGCCACAAAAGTAATCCTGTAACTTTTGACATAAATACGTATTTCTGACGTCCTTAAAACCATTAGATATAACTAAAAACATATGATCAGCATAACACTTCACACACAATCACAATTCTTTATGTTGGAACATCCTGAACAGTGCTTCGCGCTCTTCCTGGCTTCCAACAACACCAAATTATAAAAACATTTGTATAAATTTATATTCAAGAAAATATCGTTTTTTAGACAATACGTAAAAATGAACTGGCGCTTATTTGGGGTCGGCTGCAGTTGGATGAGCACAGACTGAGGATGGGTTGGATTACATTCAAACATTTCTCGAAAAAGGGTTTTATTCACCTTGTGTTCGAAACGGAATATATGTACAACCAACAGCCACAGTCCGATGGTCCATATCTATGAGAGAGAGAGAGCGCGAGCATCATTTCGAGGTTCGAGGTCAGATGGTTGCGGTTAACCTTTCATAACTTTCGATGGTGAACTGTTATTGTGTGCAGTGTGTTATAGGGTGGTTGGAGTCGACACCCATGCCATCTTTAAGCAGGACTAGTTCTTACTGCGATAACCAACGAGTCCTATAAAGTCTGAAATGTGGGTTTGATTGTCAATAGTGTTTTAAAATCCGATTTCTCGGCTGTTATCGACGTTGAATCAATAGTCTCGATATACAAGGGAAGACAGACAGGAGGTACTGAGCTACAGGCCAGTGTTCATAACTTGCATGCCATGCAAGGTGATGGAGAAGCTTGTGAGAAAAACTAGTAGAACGTGGAGAGTAGAACATGTGCAACAAGACTTCTTCCTGAGTTGAGGGCTTAAGCTACGCGGAAAGACTGAGAGAACTGGACCTTACTAAACTGGAGGAAATGAGAGGTAGGAGGTGATAGGATAACATAAGATTCTAAGGGATATTGATAAGGTAGACAAAGCAGCATTGTTCAAAGCTAGGAACACCGGAACGAGGGGGTCATAGATGGAAACTCGAAACGCAAATGAGTCACAGGGACGTCAGAAAGAACTTTTTCAGTGTCAGAACTGCCAATAAGTGGAACAAGTTATACGCAGAAGTCGTCTAACCTAATAATATTCAAAGTTTTATATATAAATTTGATAAAAGCGCGATAAATAAGTAATTGAGTTAATCTAAGAACATTCGGAAAGGAAGGCTAGGAGCTTATCACGACCCTACAAGCACATCTTGAACACACACACACACACACACACACACACACACACACACACACACACACACACACACACACACACACACACACACACACAAACAAAGCCCCCCCAAAGCCCCCCCATCTCCCCTATCCCCCACAGCCTCTCCTCCCCCCATGCTTCCCCAACCCTCCCTCTCTTACCCACCCCCTGTACCCTCCCCCTATCTTATCCACCCCCTGTACCCTCCCCCTCTTATCCACCCCCTGTACCCTCCCCCTCTTTTCCACCCCCTGTACCCTCCCCCTCTTTTCCACCCCCTGTACCCTCCCCCTCTCCCCCACCACCCCAAGCCCTCCCTCCTCCACCAATCCCCCCGTGCCAGGTCCCCCCAGCTCCCACTCACCCCATATCCCAAAGGTCCCCCCCAGAAAAGAAGCAGAAGAGAGTCAGTTTCAGGGTGATGTACTCGAACATAGATGGGATCACAAGCAAGACAAGTGAACTAAGGGAAAGAGCACAAGACGTTAACCCAGATGTAATCGGACTCACTGAAACAAAACTCAATGGAATCATAACGAATGCCGTGTTTCCCCAGGAGTATACAGTAATAAGGAAAGAGAGGGAAGGTAGGGGAGGAGGCGGAGTGGCCCTACTCATGAGAAGGGAATGGAGTTTTAAGGAGATGGCCATCCCGGGCTGTGAGGAGTTCAGAGACTACATAGCAGGCACCATAACAATGGGAGGACCAAGAATAGTAGTAGCAGTAATATACAACCCTCCACCAAATGACAGGAGACCCAGTCAAGAGTATGAAAACAACAACAAGGCAGTTAACACTATAATTGAGAGGGCAGCCTCTGCTGCCTGTAGAAATAGATCCCACCTGCTCATCATGGGCGACTTCAATCACGGAAAGATTGACTGGGAGAACAAGGAACCGCATGGAGGCGAGGATACGTGGAGAGCCAAACTATTGGAGGTGGTGACAAGCAACTTTTTAACCCAGCATGTCGGAGAACCCACAAGGATGAGAGGCAATGACGAACCAGCGAGACTCGACCTAGTCTTCACTCTGAACGACTCCGACATAAGAGAAATCGGTTTTGAGGACCCAGTAGGAATGAGCGACCACAGTGTACTGGTGTTTGAGTACTTGATTGAAGAAGGGTTATTGAACTCGAGGAGGGATACCGAAACCAAAAGGTTAGCATACCGAAAGGGAAACTATGAGGGGATAAGAAAATTCCTAACAGATATAGCATGGGAAACAGAGCTCAGGGGAAAGACGGCCCAAGATATGATGGATTACATCACGCAGAAGTGCAAGGACGCAGCAAACAAGTTTGTCCCAGTCCAAAAGGAAAACAGAGAAATGAAGATGAGAAACCCATGGTTTAATCAAAGATGTAGGCTAGCTAAGCAGCAAAGTAAAAGGGCATGGAGAAACTATAGGAATAACAGGACACTGGAGAGCAGAGAAAGATGCCAGGAATGAATATGTCAGGATGAGAAGAGAGGCAGAAAGACAATACGAAAATGACATCGCAAGCAAGGCAAAGACTCAGCCTAAATTGTTGCATAGCCACATTAGGAGAAAAACAACAGTAAAGGAACAGGTTATGAGATTAAGGATAGGGGCGGAAGGATTCACTACAAATGACAAGGAA